AGCCGCAGCCCAAGGTGGTGAGAACTGTGCTTAGTAAAGCGCGTCCTGCCCGGGTCGCGCGGAGGAAATTGACGCCGTCTTCGGGGGGAAAAAATTGTGGGATTGGCAAAGCTGGACTCGTGGACGGTGAGCCAGAGCTGGGTCCAAATGCAAATGGATGCAGGCTCTTCTAAAGTCACAGCTGTTTCCTCTCTGCCTGTTCACACGAACGCCACTGCTCAGGCAAAAGCCTTCTTCGTACTTCCTGCTATTCTGTTTTGCTGTTCTGTGTCTCCAAGTCAACTTGTCCTGTTTCCTTGCCTCTTCTGAATTGCACCAGCTGCATGTGTGAAGTTCCCTGGTTCTAGGTTCATGGTTATCTGTGTATTGGTTTATCCTTACTTTGTTTGTCCTGAAGCTTTGTAAACCTCAGATTTAGCTTAATGTCACAAAATTAAAAATTGGGAGATTTGCTATTGTTGGTAGACCCCAAATTTTACCTATGGTGGTAAAGGATGAAAGACTGTGCTTCTCTGCCCTTCACTGAGGCCTGAGATGCAGTTCTCATTAGAGAATGTTCAAAATGTGCTTCTATTGTTTTATTGTTTTAATGGTTTCTTTTAAGATTGCATGTTTTTAGCTCTCTGATGCTCATATGTCTTTCCTCGGTCTGTTGAAAGAGATTGCTGTCCCAGTGTCAGCACAGGAGCACAGAGTCTTTAGAAGCAGCGTTTCCACTGCTAGTTCTCCGGCTCTTTTTTATATGCCTGTACTGGTAATATTTCAAGGCCATGGAATCTGCCTAAACCTGTACCTGAAATGTAGCACAGGCAGGAAATTAATTTCCTTGGCCCAATGCTTAGTTCACAGCTGATTTCCAGCTTTTCTGGGAAGGAGGATCTTGCAACGTGGTTTGTGTGATCAGCCTCTGTTCTGGTTTTCTTCAGTGGTTTTGGTTCCTCAGAAAAAAATTACCTTAATTTTTCTTTTTTGGTGATCCCATTTGAGACACTGCAGAAGATGCTGTGTTGTAGCTGTCCAAATCCATGGTGTGATCTTCCCTCTCTCTTTCCTTGTGTATTTTGCTTATCAGTAAAAATAGTTAATGGCAGTAGTATTTATTGTTCTCTCTGACTGTTCGAGAAGAACGAGGCAGCTGGAACTTCCGAACAATTGTTTCAAGCTTTCTGCTTTGCACAGACAGGGAACTCCATATGCTTTCAGTTTGTTTCATATTTGAGAGGTTATCTTCAGTGAGGAGTGTTAGAGTTTTGAAATTGACTGGCAGTTAAAATGGCAGGCTGGTCCTTTTGGGGCCTTTAAATTGTGCATCATTGACCCGTTGTGAGTTGGCTCAGGTTGAACTCAGCTGAAGGCATTTTGGCAGGTCATCCTTACGTTTATTTTATGACACACTCCGGTTTTGAGGGCTTGAAAAAGAGTATTTGTAGGAGTGTTGGGTTTGCTCTCACACTTCTCATAAATGCTTTTCCTGCTTCAGTAACATTGTTCTTTGTAATGCTGAGGGTGAAGCATAAAGGCAAAGCGAATGAAGAAGCAAAGAGCTGAAATTAAAGTAGGGGTGATAGTGTGTCTGATGCCAACGGCTGTTTCTTGGTGAAGACACATTTCCTGTAATGTAGTTCCTGTTCTTTCACCTGGGAGGAGGGAAAAAAGATCTCTATGTTGCTGGTAACACCCACCACTCTGACTGCAGGGAGAAGTGTACAGGAGAGCAAGAAACTGTACAAATTGCATAAAGCACCTTCCTAGCCTTGACTGAAGAAACTGAGGCTTCCCTGTTTTTTCCCAAAGCTCTCAAGACTTGGAATTGAATCAGCTGCCAGCAACTGCTCCTTAGGCCCATCTCTGTTGCTGCTAAAATATCTGAACCTACACCCACCACTCTGACTGCAGGGAGAAGTGTACAGGAGAGCAAGAAACTGTACAAATTGCATAAAGCACCTTCCTAGCCTTGACTGAAGAAACTGAGGCTTCCCTGTTTTTTCCCAAAGCTCTCAAGACTTGGAATTGAATCAGCTGCCAGCAACTGCTCCTTAGGCCCATCTCTGTTGCTGCTAAAATATCTGAACCTGGTGTCAGTGTTTGAGACTACTGGGTAACCTACTGCTTTTATTGTCTATCATTTAAAATTTGCACGTTTTTCTGCTGGTCATCTGCTCGTTCAGCACCTTGAAAAGGCTGATCTTGGTGCTTCCCCTGTTTGTCACTGTCATTTCAAAGGGTCCTCTGGAGTTCTGCATCTTTCACCAGTTTTTTGGTTTCTTTGATCCATTATGAGTTTAGGAGGAATCACTTGTACATTCATGTTATGCCATAATGAATAAAGGTTTCCTTATTACCAAATCTAACCTAGCACAAAGTGATCCTGTAACTGAAGCAAAAGAATGATGGGCAACAGTATTTGTGGGTGGTCTGTCTCTGCAATTAAACCACTGACCTGAGGCTGATTTGCACAGTTCTAACTGGCCAAAACTACTGCAGAAGTGTTTAGTTGAATCTGTTCCTTGCCGTATGGGGGGTGAATTTCTTTTGGTTTGTAAGTTAAATGCAACAGCCTAGATGCTGACTTTCCTAAACAGTTTCTAGACCTGAAATAAACATCTAAGAGAGCATCTCAAATACAATTAAGTTACTACCCAAACCTAAACTGTGTGTAAGGCTGCTTGCAACGCTAATGCCTCGGTGTGGACCTGGACAGGTCACTTGCACATGCTGCTGGCTGAAATGCAGAATGATAATGTAATACATTGTGAAGCTCAGTTAAAGGTGTTTTTTAGGAGGGTGCTAAGGTGCTGGTCTGTCCCTGTGTCTGCTCTTCATGGACTTCATTAGAATTCTGACTTTCCTACAGTTTGGTGCAGCAGAGAAAGTGTTATATTAGTGAGTGTTAAGTCTCAGATATAATTCTTCAATTGCAGGGAAGATGAAAAAGAAGTTTGCTTTTGGAGTGAAAAAAGGTGTGGGTGAAGCTGTTGATTTTAATGGGTCTACCTGGAAATGCTTTGAAAATTCCACACCTGTTGATGCCCCTTCCCCACCCTCGACAGTTACTTAACCTGTGAGAACAAGTGGAAATCTTCAAGGTTTTTGCCAAAGCATATGGGCTTGCAATTCCACATGTCTGTTGAAAGTAACGTTTGCTAAAACCTTGCATCTTCATCCACATGGAACTTCACAGAAGGCTTATTTTCTAACAACTGGGATAAGTGTGCATGGGTATTAGAAAAGGCTCATTTATGGTCATACTTTTAAAGCTGTCTTTTTGTTGGAAAGATGGTTCTTACAAGAGGGGAAAGGGCATCTTTGTTTCTCCCTAAGAGAAGTTGTGTTTCCTCAGAATTAGCTGCTCAAACCAGAAAGCATGTGCACTTGTGAAACGTGCAGGTAGGTCATTGGTAGTAGGGCTGCAAGGTGTTGAACTATCTCCAGGCAGGCTTTACCTATTATTCTGATAGAATTAAAAAAAAAACCAAACCCTGTTGCTTACTTCTGCTTTATTTAAAGCCTTTTAGGTTATCTAAAGTTCTGTGTAAAATCGATGGCTATTGTGAAGGATTGGTGGCAGTCAGGGACTACTCAAATAGCAAGGGAGCCATTGAATTCATCTTACTGAGGTTCCTGTATTACAAGCCAGGGGCTAAAGGCTGGCATTGGGCTCCTTTTGCTTTTGAGGGAAGCCTAGATAGATGGAGGCAGGTGACAAAGGCAGAAGGCTCTGCTTTTGTTTTAATTTCTTTGGGGTTTTTTTCTGGGGACTTAGACCTGAGTGAAGTGCTAGAAGTCTGGCTCTAACCTTTAAGTTTAGGCTATAAGCTCCTGCTTCCAGGACTCCCCAGACAGGTGTGCTATATAAAGGATTCTCTTTCTGAAATTTCCTTCTTCATAGATTAATTTCTCATTCTCATGAATCTTCTGAAGTTGTTTTGTTGGTTGGTCAAGCAGAGGAAGCAGAAGATTACCGAAGAGCATTCAAACTGCTACTGTGAAAACACAAGGAGGACAAATGTTCCCTTTTATGAGCTGTTCCTAAGAAAAACAAATGCTTCTTCTCACCATTGCGGTTTTAGTCCAGAATTCTCAAAGCTGTTTTTGATTCCTTGCTGAAATTAGTAGAATTAGGCAGCAAAATATCTTCAGGGATCTGATACAAAGTGTCTAGTTACGCCTTAGAGGCAAATGCCTGAAGGATTTGTTTCATACCTCAGTAATAAAGTTGTTTGACTTCAGCAACAAAAATACTGAGCTGTTTGTTTTCTATCAGTATTAATGCAGCTATGGTGTAAGTTGATCTTGGCTTATGCCTACACAGTAAGAGCCTCATCATCTCTTTCCTTTCTTTTGAGGTCATGAAACGCGTACGCACAGAACAGATTCAGATGGCAGTGTCCTGCTACCTCAAGCGCCGTCAGTATGTGGACTCAGAAGGTCCCCTAAAACAAGGGCTGAGGCTGTGTCAGACTGCTGAAGAAATGGCAGCTAATCTCACAGGTAATCCTATTGTTTTTTCCATGAGTGCTTCTTGGCAAAGTCCTGAGTATGTATGTCGGCAACTAGGTGACTTTGTGTGCGCATATAGACAGCTCTCTTCTCTTGGAAGAAAGAAATGTCTCAGTGTGAAGTCGAACTTTTGAAGAATTAAAATGTGGATAGAAGTGTAACAAGGTGACATTTGTGGTCAGTGAAACAGCTGGCTGAAGTTCTTGGTCAGAGTAGTGAAAAATATGTATGTTGTATACCAAAGAACATGAATTCTGGTAAGTAGTGGTGCTTTGGGATGGAGGTGAGAAGAACCTAGATGAGGAATTAAGTAGAAGCAGGAATACATGTCATACCCTCATATTCCAGGAGAGTTATATCATGTGAAAACAAAGTGACAAGGCTGTGTCTTTCTCTGGCCTAGTCAGCTTTGTAGTTGTGAAAGCTCTGCTCTGTGGCTTGGGAAAAAAGTCCCAAAACCTTCAGTGGATGAGGCAGTTTATTTCCCTTTGTGCCTTTTCTTCTTCTTAAGGCTTTTGAATCCTGCTACTCTACTTTTTTTTTTTTGTGTCTGTGGCAGTCTTCATTGTAATTATTAAATTTGTCATAACAAACTGCTTCTTGAGCACATATGAATATTGGAAGGATGCAAGCAATGTGGAGGTTATAAAGATCAAATTTACTTGTAAAAGTAGTAGAAAATACTGGGCTGACCTTTTGGTGAAAATCCAAGATGTTTTCTGTTAATGAAACTCCTTAGATTGTGACAGTAGCCCAGGTTAAGTGGGGTGTTGGAGAGACCTTAGTTACCTGTGATACAACTTGATTTGACAGAACATTAGTTGCTGTGTAACTCTGTGCTCATGACTTGGTAAGATTGGATGCCAAAACAGCTCTTTGCACCTGTAGAGTATTTTACCATAGTTAACAATCCAAAGCTGAGTAACTTGTGGGTAAATGTCAGGCTGACTCTCTCAGGGGCCTGAAGGAAATGGGGTAATATGTCGTTATTAGAAGTGACTTACTTCACAGAATCACAGAGTGTGTGATTGTGTTTTTTCTTTTTACGAGTCTTGCTGATGCATTGGTTTTGTGGCTGGTGATTCGCAATTTAGTCCTGTTTTCTTAAGAACCAAAAATAGTCGGCTCTCCTGGACTCAGCTGCTTACTACTTTTTGTCAGATGTGCTTGTAGTTAGCTGTCGCTGAGCATGCTGCAGCTCCAGGAATAACTGTTGAAAAAGCAAAACCCAGCTTGTTACTTTTTCTGACAACAGACGCTGAAAATACTTTTTGCTGCTGTCATCTTAGTTTTGCAAACGGAATAAAAGCTGAGCAGATTGTGAAGTCTGCATTGCTTTATTCTGAGGAAAGTGATCAGATACATTTTTCTGAAGGTGTTTTTGTTTTTTTCTTAACAAAACTCACCTTGCTTTTTGTGTTCAGTTCTTTTGTTTGACTTTAGATTAATTAGCCTGTGTAAATGGGAGAGTTACTTCAGTCTTCAGTTTTGTGATTTCTCTTTCACAGTGTAAAGTGTCCTCAGTTTTTGGGTTTAAGTAGCTTTGTTTTTCAGTTTTACCTCCACATTTCTCATTGTCTGCTTCCGTAGTCTCTTCAGTTCAGCTTTTCTCCATTGCTTCATATATTTTCTATATCTGTACAGCTCTGTTTGCACAGAATCATAGAGCAGCCCAGGCTGGAAGGGACCTCAGAAGATCATCTGGTCCAGCCTTTTTTTATGGGAGAGGGAGCCCAGATGAGATTATCTAGAACCCTGTCTGATCACATCTGCAGTAAAATAGAGCACAGAGCTTCCTTCTGACTATCCCAAATTTCTGTAGAAAAGCAGAATAGTATTTGAGGACAGAATGAGTGACCAAGGAACAGGTTCCTCTAATATTGCCCATAACACTATCAGCACATAGGACTGTCTGAAATGATGTAAGATTATACATTATCACACTCATGTAAAAGAGGAATCAGTTGCTGTTAAACAGCATTTACAGCAGCCCCACATTTGTTAGCTAGAAGCAGTTCTGCTGGCAGCCAGCACACAAGACCAGGAGAGTGGCTGTCCATATCCCTGAGTTAGGATTCAGATTTGCTATTGAGTCGGATAGCTGGGCTGCACTTCCTGGTAGTGAAGAAGCAGGTGTTTCCAATAGGTGTTCTTGTGACCAATGGGAAAGGTGGAAAAGAAACCATGGTAGGCTTATTAATGTATGAGAAGGATATAGCCAGTGTTTTATTTCTACCAGGAGGAAAATATGCTTGGAATTTTACTCTTGTTTTGGAATCAGTTGAGCTCTTGATCCTTTTTGCAGTTCTGGTTGGTGCAAAGTTTTGGGAAGGCAAAGAATTAGAATTTGAACTTTTTTTTAACTGTCTGGTGTGTAGAGTTCATGTACCGTTTGCTGGATGGGAACGAGCTACAACCTACAACTGTGGACTTCAGGAAAGCTAACTTGAACCTGTATAGGGATCTTCTTGGACAAATCCCACGGGAGGGATTTTCAGGGAAGAGGGGTCCAAGAGAGTTGGTTGTAATTTAAGGATCGCTTCCTCCAGGCTCAAGAAACCCAATGAGAGAGAAATTCGGCCAAGGGCACATAAAACCTCTGTGGGTGAACCAGGAGCTCTGAGCTGAAGCATAAGCAAGAAATGCATAGGAGGTCGAAGCAGGGTCAGACCACTTGGAGCAAGTACAGAGAGGTGGCCAGAGCAAGTAGGTAAGAGACAAGAAAGGCCAACCTAGAATTGAATCTGGCCAAGGATATCAAGGATAACAAAAAGGGCCTTTTAAAATATATAAACACCAAGAGGAAAACAAAGGATAATGTGGGCCTACTAGTTAATGGAGAGAGGACCCTGATAACAGAGGATGCAGAGAAGGCAGGTACTTAATGCCTCCTTTTTATCAGTCTTCGTGGATAAGATCAGCCTGCAGGGATCTCTGACCCAAGAGACCAGGGGAAGGTGGGGAGAAATTCCTTTAGTCAAAGAGGATTGGGTTAGAGAACACCTAGTTAAACTGGACATCCACAAGTCCATGCTCCCTGACTGGATGCATCCATAAGTGCTGTGAGAGCTGGCAGACATCATAGCCAGGCTACTCACAATCATCTGTGAAAAGTCATGGAGCTCTGGAGAGGTTCCTGAAGACTAGAAGGTGGCACATGCCACTCCAGTCTTCAAAAAGGGCAAGAAGGAGGATCCAGGGAACTACCAGCCAGTCAGCCTCAGCTCAGTCCCTGTAAAGATAACAGAACACCTCATTCTGGAGGCCTTCTCGGCCCACATGGGAAACAAGAAGGTGATCAGGAGTAGTCAGCATGGGTTCACTTAAAGTCAGTTGTGACCTGATTGCCTTCTATGTTGAAACAACTGCCTGGATGGATGAACTGGGAATAGTGGACATTGTCTACCTTGACTTCAGCAAGGTTTTTGACACTGTGACCTACAGCATCCTCATCAGAAAACTTTAGTAGTGTGGGTGGGCGAGTGGACAGTAAGATGGATTGAGAACTGGCTGAGCAGCAGATCCCAGAGAGTTGTGGGCAGGGGGACAGAGTCTAGCTGGAGGCCTGTCACTAGTGGTGTCTCCCAGGGTTCCATACTGGGCCCAGTTTTGTTCAACTTTGATGAAGGAACAGAGTGCCTTCTCAGCAAGTTTGCTGATGATACAAAATAAAGATGATTAAGGGACCGGAGCACCTGACTTATGAGAAAAGGCTGAGGGAGTTGGGCCTGTTCAGTCTGGAGAAGAGACGACTGAGAGGGGTCCTCGTTAATGTGTTCAAGTACATGAATGGGAAATGCCAAGAGGATGGAGCCAGGCTCTTCTCAGTGGTGGAAACCAATGAAACAAGAGGTAATGGGAAAAAAACCTGATGCACAGGAAGTTCCACCTGCTTATGAGGAAGAGCTTCTTTACTGTGCAGGTCACTAATCACTGGAACAGATTGCCCAGAGAGGTCGTGGATTCTCCCTCACTGGAGGTATTCAAGAACTGTCTGGACACAAGAGCAGGGAGGCTGGACCAGATGACCCATTGTGGTCCCTTCCATCCTGTGATTCTGAGCTCTAGCATCGCTAGTGAAAGAATAGGGGCATAATCATTGCCCAATCAGACTGTTTCAGGATAGGTAGCCAAAGATGGTATTCCACTTTCTGAAGTACACCTTAATTTTGGAATTAAGTTTCTTATGCAGAGGAAGTTGTGGCATGGAGGGAACACTTCATAAAGTGAAATGATAGTAAGTTGTGTTTGCATGGCATGAGCAAGGTGGCAAGTCATTCCTGTGGAAATGAGACCACCAGAACTCCTTGTATGTTATCCTGTGACACCGGCCCTCATATTTCTGTTTTTCTTTGCTTTTACAATGGGTGACATTGAAAACTGTCACTAGACATTCTTGAGTTACTGCCCATGTGTGCATGCAGTTTACTTGCTCATGCTGAATTATATCATGATTATATTAAATTTTAAGTCCCTATAGCAGACCTTTTACTTTAATTGTTAAGTAGTACCAGTATGCGAGCCTGGAATTCTTGCCAACTTCGAGTTTCTCAAGCAGCCGGGCTGCAGAAAGCTCAGTGTAGCTGTACCTTTCAGCAGGGTATATTTGTTTATTTCTAAACTGATTTAAGACAAGATATAGGGTATTGGTGCTGCAATCTGTATTTGCTGGGTTTTTTCCTAAGAGGGGATGATGGGCACAGCTCTCTGTTTCAAAAGCTGAAATCAGCCTGCCCTGGAGAGCTGGTAAACACACCTCCTGTATTTACATAAACTGAAGGAAGATAGACCTGTGTCTTACCAGAGAGAGAGAAAGGGGAGAACAGCAACAGGCTGCCTGTGATCTCTTTCTAATTAGAAGCATTGAGATGAGCTGGAGGCTGGCCTATCTCTCTTTAGCATGTGAACATTTGATGATGTTGTTTATAGACTCCCAGGGCTGTCAGTTGTGCCTCTGTACGTGAGCCAAATGCTGGAACTAAAAAACCCCTATCCATCAGGTGTAGAAAGACAAAGAGAGAGGATGGAAAGTGATGCAGGGCAGACTGAAAGAAGTTGAAGTGAAAGTAATAAAAAAAGGTCTTATGGAGGGGAAAATAGTTATGAATTGAAAAGAAATTAGAAAATAGTGAAACTCCTTACCCCCTTGTGCTCTTTTTAGAAGAGCATAACTTGCATTTGGTATGTGCTTGGGGTATGTTGGTGCATGTCTGCAAACTTGCACAAAGTCCACTGTTGGATTCCAAGTGGGTAGCAGAACAGCAAAGGTTTGGTGCCAGAGAAGGAGCAACCAATTCCCTTTCTAAATTGTTCAGAACCACTTTTATTAGAGTCAGCACTGGTTCAGAAAAACTGTTTTAACACTGTCTAAGGAGACCATAACAACTGGATTTGTGGTCAGTTACCAGGTGCTTGTAACCTGAAATCCTCAGGGACGAGGACTTGCTTTAATGAAAACTACTCTAAGTGCTTGCTTAGATATTCAATGTGTTTTCACCACCACCCATGTGAGCCTTAGTAAATGATAGTTGTTGTAATTTGTTGTAAACTATAATGATTGGGACAGGGAATTTGAGACTCTGAGGCAGTGTCATTGCAGACTTGTTCATGATGGTTGGTGGGACCCACTGAAAAAGAAACAATGTTTTGGAGAAAATTGTAGATTGTTTTCCTCTTCTTTTCTGAGTGCAGAGTAGTAAAACATCTGAGCTGTAAAATTTGTTAAGGGATCTGTAATGATGTTACTCTGAATTTCTTGGGAACTTAGGGTTGTAACTGAAAGCTTCAAAATGTGTTCTGGGCGGAGCAGGTGAGCTGCTGAGACTTTTTGGGGGAGGGGATTAAGCTTTCAGTATACTTTTCTCATTCATGATCAAGGCTGTTAATGGCACATTTAGATGCTTTGGACTATTTCATACCTGGATGGTTTGAAAGATAAAATGTCATCTCCGTCTTGTGTTTTGTGAGAAGCTTCGTTTCCAGAAACACATGCAAAACTCCTTAAATCCCTGTTTAATTCTTGCTTACTTTATTTCACAGTCCAAGCTGAGTCTGGTTGTGCCAACGTTGTGTCTGCAGCTCCCTGCCTGGCAGAGCCACAGCAATATGAAGTACAATTTGGACGATTACGCAATTTCCTCACAGGTAAATATCAGGAAGCAAGGAAGAGTAAAGTAGCTGGCTGGTTTGTTGGGGTTTGGGTTTTTTTTGTCATTTCAGTGACTAAATGATGATATACTAAAATTCAAAATCATGTCTCTAACAATCTTTTGATTTCTAGTTTTGAGATTTCAGTTACTACAGATAGGAATGTTTACATTTTTTGTAGTTTGGGTCTGTTTGCTGAGTAGCTTTGAATTTGTTGTTTCTTGTTCAAGCATTTGGCCTTTATAGATCTTTTAGACAACAGCATATATACACAGGACAAGAAGGAAAATCAGTGTTTATGTGAAGGGCAGGTAACTTAGAAATTACTGTAGTTCTCTGCTGTCTCCTGGTTTTGCATTTTTATTTTTATTCATAATTGACTTATTTTTATGATGGTCTGCATTTTTAAGGGAGAATTTGTTCCCTGAAATTTATCTGTATTGGCTTTGAGACTGAAGGTATATGAGAAAGTAGAAAACTTCTCATTCTGTAGTGATGCAGAAGACAATTATGATTTTCCTTTTTTTTTTACAATTATTCAATACTTTGTTAAAAAAAGGTACTCCTGGGAATGTCCTTCTACGAGTCCCCAGCATGGGAAGAAGAAAGCAGATAGAATTTTTTGAGCATAGTACCAAGAAAAGTGAGGTTGTCAGTCCTCCTGCCTTCAGTCACATCTACCTTTGTCCAGTGTAGTGTTTTGATCCCAGTGTGCATAATATCAGGATTAGTATTTCTGGTAGTTGTTGAAGGAAAGAGAAGGAGACAGGCAGGAAGGCAGGGACAACAAATAGTGAAGTCTTAGCCTTGCCACCTACAGCTGTTCAGCACCTTTGCACTTTAGTATTTGAGGTAAATCCTTATGGTTTAATAGATTATTAAGAAGTATGATTGCTCTGTTCAGTGGCTTAAGTGTTGCTTGGGGAAGTGCTAGGCATGCTTTTGGTGTTCAGGTCGACTGTTTTCATCTTTTCGGTCCCACTTGCTCTAGTTTAATATGAACTGCTTCTGTTTCTTTCAGGAAGTGACTTGCCATCCAGCCACAAGGCTCAGTAGGGCACTTCCCATTTCTGTGGTGCCTGCCTCCAGGGCCACTGAGGAGTAGGCAGGGGACTAGGACCACTGAATAGTTTAGGAATTACTTTACTAAACTAACTAGTCTCTAGTTCAACCAGCTGCTCAAAGCAGGGCAAGATGGGAGTTTGATCTGGTTGCTCAAAGCCTTTTCCAATCAGGTTTAGAAAACCAAAAAGTGTGCCGATCACTCTGCACCTCTGGGCCTCAATTGCAGGGCTGAGTGATTTGGTGAGATTGGCCCTTGCAGCAGCCTGCCTATTTATTGTCCTTCCACTGAGCACTTCTCAGAAGAGGATTGCTCCTTTTCCTGTATGGGCACTGAAGGCAGCAGCTGGATTCATCTCTAGGCTAGGCAGACCCAGCTCCTCTAACCTATCTCCATATGTTCCTAGGGAACATTTTCCTCACTCCTGTTTCTGCCAACTTCCCATCTCTGCCCTTTTCCCCCCACTGCAGAGTGAGGTCCATCCTCTTGTTACATTTTTGTACTAGTGCACCTCGAGAGAAAAGAGCACCTGCTGGCTGCTTAGAGCTTTCACTACGTGCAGACTACTGGTTTCACTGGCTTTCACCCAGTTTCAGTGGGACAGGAAGGAGAATGATGTTTAAGATGCAAATGTGTATGTATACACTGCACACCACACGTACTCTCTAGTTACTCATAGAGAAACAAGAGAGAGGCACAGTATGGACCAGAGAAGAGTCTAGAAGAGTACTCGACAGGAGAGGAAAAATAACCTAATGTAAAGGTTAAAAAAAAAGACTCTGCAGTGGTGACTGGCAGGAGTGAAGAGCAAGTTGAGAAGCAGCAATGCCGTTTGAGAATCAGCAATGCCTATTTGTTTTCCAGTAATTTGGACATTTGGTCCTCTGGTAGTAGCTCACTGTGGCCCTGTATGTTGCCATGGTTTTCTTCAGCAGCACTCCTTACAGCTCCCTGCAGCTGGCAAACAGCCCCAAGGAGCTGCTGAAGGAGGGGTGGAGCTGTTGCACAGATCAGTCTCTGCAAGGTACAGCACAGCCTAATCGGGGGTTTGTTACACTGTGTACTAGGAATTACTGCTGGGATTTGCCTTGGCAGAGAGAGAGAGAGAGAAAGTGTGCACATGGGCAGGCACAGAAATAAGAGCACAGCATATTGCAGTACAATTTGGAAACTGTAGCTTTTTTTCCCCTGGAGACAAATGAGTTCCATCCAAAGCACCACATGCAAGTTTTATTGAAGCTGAGAGGAAAAAAAAAGCCACCAGAGCTCAGGCCCCACACAAGCTAGGTAAATAATTTTGACTTAAGCACTTAAATACTGTTTTAAATATTATGAATAAGTTTTAAAGTCCATTTATTACAAGAAACAAAGGACATACTTCTTATATAAATGGGGGAAATTCAACTGTCATGTATTTTATGAGGTATTATATTAGTAGCTGCCCCACACCTAAAAAGCATTTTGAAATCTCTGCATTTTGTTCTGAGAAGGTACCTCACGGGCTTGACAATCTCTATTCAGGTCTGTAATAGGTACTGTACGACATTTAGGTGACAAGAGATTCACTTAGATGTGCCAACAAAATTCTCCTTTTGCCTGCTCTCTGATGGCACTGTCGAGGCTTTTTCAGTAACATCCTTGCCCTGTTTTATTCCCAGTAGAAAGTGGATTGAGAAATCATTCAAAGTTTGTTGCTGTTTTTTATATAGATTCAGATTCTCAGCACAGCCATGAAGTGATGCCTCTTCTATATCCCCTCTTCGTCTACCTCCATCTGAACATGGTCCAGAATGGCCTAAAAAGCACAGTGGACAGTTTTTACAGCCGCTTCCATGGCATGTTCTTGCAGAATGCCAGCCAGAAGGATATCATTGAACAGTTGCAGACTACCATGACTATTCAAGATATCCTGTCCAACTTGAAGCTCCGGGCTTTTCTGGACAACAAGTATGTCATCCGCCTTCAAGAGGACAGCTACAACTACCTTCTTCGCTACCTCCAAAGTGACAACAACAACGCCCTGTGCAAAGTCCTGACCTTGCACATTCACCTGGATGTGCAGCCTGCCAAGAGGACGGACTATCAGCTCTACGCTGGTGGGAGCTCCTCACGCAATGAGAGCAACGGTCTGGAGCCCAGCGACGTGCCGGCATCCATCCTGCAGAACGAGGCAGCACTGGATTTACTGCAGGACAGCATTAAACGTGTCAAGGACGGGCCCCCTTCCCTAACCACCATCTGTTTCTATGCCTTCTATAACACGGAGCAGTTGCTGAACACGGCGGAGATTTCACCAAATAGCAAGCTGCTGGCTGCTGGGTTCGATAATTCGTGTGTCAAGCTGTGGAGCCTGCGTTCCAGGAAGTTAAAGTCTGAGCCCCACCTTGTCGATGTGTCCCGCATCCGTTTGGCTTGTGACATCCTGGATGAGGAGGTCTGCATACCCTTTCTTTCCCCTGCTTCTACTCTTTCTGCCAGACTATTTTGGGCGTGCATTGTGAGGTATCTAGTAATGTCTTGGGGGGCTGTGAGGCTGTCCCACAACCTGTCTGCCTTGATACACATATTTTATGGCCTACTCTCATCCTTGTTCTTTCCCACAGTGGTTGTAAATTGGTGTAAACCTCAGTGATTGCACTGAGGTGCAGTGAGTTTGTGTTCAGGCCATCGACTGTTAGACCCTAGGTACTGATCTCCCTCCTCCAGCTGTCCTTGATCAGATGACAGTAGACAGGCAGCCCAGTAAGGACAGGTGACTAGAGAAATTTCTCCTCCCTGAGGAGCATGAAGCCTCCTTATGGATGGGAAGATGAAACAAGGAGATATGGGCAGTAAAAACACAGTACTGAATGAAAACTAGAAGGAAGGTGGCTCAGAACAATGAGTCAGAGGGGTGGAGAGGAAAATAAAGACAAAATAAGGAAAGAGCCAAAGGAGTCTGATCTGATGCCTAAGTGTGAAACTATTTCAGGCATCACCTTAGAGTGATCATAGTCAAGAGTTATCATGGAAAAATTATGCAAAATGTCTCTGTTAAGGAATCTGATGTGTAGAAACGTCAGAGGCTTTCTACTCTGCAGTGCTGGAGACAAGGACAGGGTTGTGTCTGCTTTTACGTGCCAGGCTAGATAGCATCTTCTAGTTTACTTTTTTTTCCTTACTAGTTGTGCCCTTCTTCCCCTCTCAACACAGCTGCCCAAGTAGCATCTTATATCTGGTTAGAGATCAAAATTTATGACTCTTCCATTGTTTAATCACTCCCCTCTTGAAAAAAAAAGCCTCATTTTTCTCTTGTGTTGCGTGTTTAGCAGGAGAAACATCTTTTTTTCCACTGTTTTTTCTTCTCCTAAAAAATACCTTGTGGAAGGGTTTTGTTTATTTTGGAAGAGTGCAGAGAGCTTGGTGTATGCAGATATCTGTGATTAGGGATTGCTTGGTTAGTCTGCTTGAGAGCAGGAGGCTGACATCCAGGTGAGACAGCACAGCAGCATGCTCACTGCTTCCCAGGTCAACCCTGTCTGCAGAGTGAGCAGGTAAGTGGGTCAGACTAGCCCAAGATGGAGCTATGGACTTGTTTTCATTATAAGCTACAAGAGTTCTTAGGACATGTGACCATGTATTGTCTGTCATGGAGGCCAAATGTCAATAACCTCCATCAGAGGAGAGTTCACCTGGTAAATCAGCAGGTCACCTGCTTTGGCTCTGGACCATAGAAAAGTGAGAGATTGCCAGGTTATCAGGGGTGTGTGTATTAGCTTTTTTGGCACCTAGCCACATACTTGAATTTTGTTACACGTATTATGAAATGGTCACGGAAGCTTGAGTACTAACCGCTTTTGTTGGCTATTTGATATTTTGTGTATCCTGAAGTTTCTGTGCACAGGTCTAAAACCAAAACCTGGTCAAAGACCAGCACAGATCAAAGTCATCATTACCCTGAATAACTTCCAGCCCTGACAAAACAAATAGTGACCCAAGCAGGAGTTCAAAGTTAAGGGAGAATACCAGCCTGAACGCACTGTTGGTGACCAAATGCAAATGAAAGCCCCTTGACTACAGAGGAAATAAATAGGAGCCCTAAGTGAAAATACACAGGTACCCACAGGGTTGCAGGTGGGATCAGTCCAGCACTCTCTTGGGTGCCATGGAAGTGGAAACCACAGATACTAAGACCAAACAAGACCACCTTGACTGAGCTGCAGTCATCAGTATGAACAGGGGCTGTGCTTCAGACTGTCCCTGCGGTCTGATCAGCAGCAATTCACAGGGATAAATATGATGAAAACTTTGTCAGAGAACAGAAACTCTGAATGTGCTTTGACATAACTTCAGTGAATTCTACAGAATAACTTGCAAAGATGTTAAAATTTGGTTTGGTTGATTTCTGTATTGTGTAATTAGCTTTGGATAGTATATTTAAATAGGAATGCATTAAATAACTAGTCTTCAGGTTGGTTTCTGATTTCTGTTTATCAGGTTATAAAAGTCTAAAACTATACTAGTTGCAGCAGCTCTTGTTCAGGGTAGCACTGAAACTACACTATTGAGTTTGTTAACTTTTTGTATGTGTGTGTGTGTATATATATAAAATATAAAAATGAGGTTGAGACTTGGCAAAAGTGTTAGAGAACAACTTTTTTTCCTAGTCTGTGTAAAGCTTTTTTGTCACTAAAGTCAAAATCATCTTGTAGGTGTAGTTTTAGTGAATTTTGCTCAGTGTGATGCCACAGTGTACTTCACCAGTGTTGTCTCACTTCTTGGGAATAGGAGAGACTTTCTGTTTTGGGATACAGTAACTGTTTTCTTTATAGTAGGATCTCTCAAATGCCACTTTATAGTTTCTCTTAAGGTTCAGTATAAAAATGCAGTTTTGTAGCTGTGCAAATGGACATATTGTTTGTCTCAGCAATTTTGCCATGCTTATCACTGGTACTACATAAACAAACAACAGAAAATAATACTTTATTCCAAGCCACAAGAGTGGCAACCTTTAAATCCTGTGAAGACTAAGACTTAGCCCTGTTTGGCTCTGCTTCTAAGGTTCTGCTTTTAAGTGGCAGTGGTCCTTCAAGTGGTAATGAGTGGGGATGTTGCTGACAACCTTGTTTGGTGGCAGATGGGAGGGAATTCTGGAAGGAGCAGTAAGAAGTGGCCTGCAAAGAGAGCCATCCTTCCTTATCTTTCCCTGCTAGGAGGTTTCTACTGTAGGCAGGTAAGAGATCTTCCCTTTCTATATGTTAAGAGCACTGCAGGATGAGAGAGATGATGACACCCAGGGAAACCTGTTACTGGTTAGAAGGGGAAAAAAAAGGAGGAGTGTGAGATTTTCTTTCATTTTTCTTTGTGGATGCCATTATTGCTTTTTGAGACTTATTCTCTTGAGGCTTACACTGGGTGGAAGACTAAGATAACTTTTGTCAGGTAGACAATGTTTACTGCTTACAAGGTTAAATGTATTGACAGTAAATTTTTCTGGGTCCAAGTGACTGTCATGCAAAATCTATTACTGATTTAAGTAACAGCTGAGAAGTTAGGCAGGTGTATCATTTAGAAGATGTCCTGTGTAACAAAACATGCCAACATTTTTGTTCTTTCCAGTTTCTTATTAATATCATTTTTGGAGTCTTTTCAGCAGTGAACAGGAAATCTTGTAGAGTAGATTTTTGTAGCTCATTTTAGTAGTATTTGTAGGTTTTCCAGTTTCTATCCTGTTACTTAAAATCTCTTTCAATACTTTTCAAAATGGATAGTTCAAGTAATAAAGGGTAGCTTTCAGTGTGCATGTGTAGGCTACTGATTAAAATAGACTCATTTAACTTAATTTCTTGTCCATTCCAAGGAAATACAAATAGTTCACACTAAGCTGCAGCAGCAACCACTTCAGAAGGAGCTAATAGGATCTAGGTAGTGTCCAGTCATAGATTGTATCCAGGAAACATATTCAGGGTGTGAAATTGAAATGATGAAAAAATATTATGCAGAGGGATTGTTGGTTTATAACACAGATTGCAATCTTTTGTAGCTGCTGCAGGTGCACACCTACATGGTGGCAGTAGCTGTGGGATGCAAGGAAGAGTGTGATTGGTCTGACAAACAAATGAAGTTTGGTTCTGCGAGGCAGTAGTTTAGTGGCTGCATTTCCAGCTGCTTTGTTAATCTGGTCAGCGGACTAACTTGGGTAGGGAGGAAATAGAAAAATTCAGTGACTCGGAAGCATTATAGGTGTACTGTTTTCAGTGAACTATAAGAACAGCATGCAGTTGTGCTAAGTGGGTGTCAAACTGAAGTCAAAGATAAGATTTGCTACCTGTGACCAAATAGGTGTGTGAGTTTGAATGCTGCAGAAGGCATTGCCAAATAAACTGCTACTGTAATACAAGCAAAGAAGAGGAGGTGCTTGTGAGAGAGAGAGAGCACAGGCTTGCAGACAGCCCAAGTGACCTTGTATTACTTTGAATGCATAAAATGAAATGCCTGGATTTGTGAAATTAACAAAAACTGTAGTACACTATAGGTAACTTGAACAGGATTCCACTGATAACTTGTCAGGAATCTTACGGTCACAATTAAATAGCATAAAATGCTGCAGGTATCAGCCTCTCTCCTTTAATGTGGTAACATAGCCTAGAGATGCTGTGGATTCCAGCAAGCAGTGCTCTGAGGTAGAAAAAGCAATTTGAATGAGAATGGGGCTTGCTTTGCATGCTGGAGCCTGCAGCTTCTCTCTGCCTCACCTCCATAGCAGAGATGAAGTTGGCTTGCAGCCACATCATAAAACTCCCATGGGCACTGACTACTCTGAAGAGAATTATTAGCATTGCTAAACACGGCTTGCTGCCTACTGTGTAACATGCCATTGAGATGGAGAAAGGCAAGGAGACAGCTAAGTCAGAGTTTGCTCACCTCTGATGTGAGATTTGAAACCACACGAGAAGGACTTTCAGGGCTGTTGCTAAGTCTGAAGTCAAACTGCCTGTGGGTCCTGAGGTCAGAGGGATGGGGGATAGCATGTGAGCCAAGACTGCTGCTCATGACAGACTGACTGGTCGTCAGTAGTCCAGCAGCCCTGGGGAATTGGGTTTCCTCTGGCGGCAGGAAGTGCTCCTTCTGCAGGAAATGGGCCAGTTTGTGATGATAAAAGTTAAAGGGGCTGCTCACAAACAAAAGGGTGTTGTGTTGAATTTGATGTGCGGAGATTGCCCGTGAATGTGTGTTACTGGTTCAGTACTGGGGAAAAGCGTCTGCCTGACAGCCCTGAGGAAAGGTAGTCTCAAGCTACTACACAGGTGCACTCCAGGCCATAGTTACCTGGCACGGTCAGTGAGATCCCAGCTTGTCTGGCAAGGACACTCTTGAGATTTGTTGCAATTTGTGTGGTCTGTAGCCTTTGAGTGTCAAGAGGTGCTACTTGAGAAAGCTTTCAGAGACTCTTACCCTCCATTGGGAGATTCCTTTAGCACACCTCACTGAATAGTCTCTAAGCATGAAAGCCTTTACTTGTTGACTATCTGCCCTGGTACTTGAATTGGAGAATAACAGAATAAAAAGGTTTCCAGTGCCATCATTTTTGTGATTATTCATCTTCTCCTACCCCAAAATAGATACATTGACCTAAATAAGCTGCATATATTTGCTGTTCTTGAAGGCTGTTCTTGAAGGGTGAGGATGTGAAAGCATCCTGATGGAGCTTGCAGGGAGAAATATATGTTACAGCCTTACTGGGTCACTGTTCACGTGTGGGGTTAAGAAAGAATGCCCAGCAGACAGCTGGTCAAATGTGCTTTGTCTTTCCATCTCCTGCTTTTTGTTTTAGACATCTGTGATTGTTTTCCTCTGCTGTGAGATTCACTTCCAATAATGACCACACCAAAAGAGTCGATGCCAAGATCTGTTTCAACATCTTAGCCAAATACTTTGTAGAGTGTGGATAGGGACTATGCATATGGTTTTAGCAAATTGAAAAATGTCATTAAAATATTTCTTTTTCTTCCCTGTTTGCTTACAGTCCCAGGTTAAGATGCCTTCTGGATTGAGTATGAGGCTACCCAAAGTGAAGATAAAGCCTTTATAGAAAGTCTTATCTCACCATCTCTTTTGGCATTCACTTAGATGCAGAAAATGCACCAGCAATGTTTGTGTCTCAAAGCTGCACAAACTGTGCCAGGTCTAAAATAAGTCCTTCTGTATTAACACCCGCCTGATTTCCTCATGGTGGTTCCTGTATTTGTTGAAGAGATAAACATGCTTCCCTTTCTTGTTTCTTTTTCTTCTCCCCAACCAGGAGGAAGAGGATGACAGCGCAGGCACAGAAATGAAGATCCTGAGAGGACACTGTGGACCCGTGTATAGCACGAGGTTCCTTTCAGACAGTTCAGGACTCTTATCTTGTTCTGAGGACATGTCCATCAGATATTGGGACCTCGGAAGTTTCACAAACACTGTGCTGTACCAAGGACATGCCTATCCAGTCTGGGATTTGGATATTAGCCCCTGCAGCCTGTACTTTGCCAGTGGCTCCCACGATCGCACTGCAAGGCTCTGGTCGTTCGATCGGACGTACCCACTGCGAATATACGCAGGCCATTTGGCGGACGTGGACTGTGTCAAGTTCCACCCCAATTCCAACTACTTAGCCACGGGCTCCACGGACAAAACTGTGCGTCTGTGGAGCACTCAGCAGGGCAACTCGGTGCGTCTGTTCACCGGGCACCGCGGCCCTGTGCTAGCGCTTGCCTTCTCTCCCAACGGTAAGTACCTGGCATCAGCAGGTGAAGACCAGCGGCTAAAGCTGTGGGACTTGGCATCAGGAACACTTTACAAAGAGCTGAGGGGGCACACGGACAACATAACCAGCCTTACTTTTAGCCCTGACAGTAGTCTAATTGCTTCAGCGTCGATGGACAATTCAGTTCGGGTCTGGGACATTCGGAACACTTACTGCAACGCCCCTGCGGATGGGTCTTCCAGTGAACTGGTTGGTGTATATACCGGACAAATGAATAATGTACTGAGCGTACAGTTTATGGCCTGTAATCTTCTTCTAGTGACTGGAATTGCACAAGAAAATCAGGAACATTAATTTTTTTTTTTGTCTTAGGGATGCGGGTGGGTGTATTGAATGCCAGAGTCCATTGCAAGCTGAGATTACTGACTGTGAAACACTTTTCTTCCTCTGCCCCCTTGGAAGGTGTGTTGAGAGTGATGCAAATGCTTTAAGATGTCACAAAAAGGCCTGCGCTGTTGAACAGAATGAGGAAAAAGGGAGGAGTGATGAAAATACATACACATTCTCATCTTCTAGGAATGGGAAAAAGGAGAGTAAATCCAGTAGCTTGGGGAAACCGAAAGCCTGGTCCAGACAAGTGAAACTGCCAACCAGATAAGCTGCTGACCTGCACTTAAATATCTTGCATTGATTGATGGACACATTTACCTACTGTTAACTGAGGCTTGAGTGTGTGGAGAACTACTGGCCCCATGTTCTTTGTTTTGTTTTGCTTTTGTTTTCCTGGTATTGCAGAGGACCAGCATTTTTAAGACCCTTCTATTAAAAGAACATTATGTATTTTCTGCAGTGATAGTGGTCCTAAATATTACAGCTTCCTATAGCACTTCTGGAATATTTTGGACCAAGTAAGTAGAAAGTACTATTGTTCTTTTTAGTAAGGGAATGGAAATCTGACCTCAGTTGGGGCCCATCTCTGCATTGTCATTTGGGTTTGGTTCCTGGTACTAGCTGTGATACTTGTATTTATGTTCCATTGATTAGGAAATTTTCTGACTCTGGTTGCACTGTGTTTTGAGGATGGGAGGACAGTGGGGGCAGAGTGGTGGTTTTAAGGGTAATAACAACTTGCCTTGTCTGGAGGGAGGGCACAGTAGAACTGAAGCAGCTAAGTTTGGACTCCTAATGGAAACAGGGCTTGTCAATCCACCACTGCACCTCACAGAAATATTTCCATAAATGGAAGTTGGCAGTTTAGGGAGAGGGGGACGAGGAGAGAGAGACACACAAAGTGACATGGGAAAAAATAGTATTACTAACTTATTGTGCATACACAGAGGCAGCTCTGCCAGTGTTGGATTTTTCTCAAATGTTGCAATATCGGTTTCATAAACACTTTGTGAGATAAATCATCAGCATTCACAACAAGGATCTGCGGAAAAAGCACGTTCTAGTTTGTCATTTGGAGAGATTAAATATTTCTGCTTTCTGGAAAGAGTTATTTTGTATTTTGTTTTCTATTAAAAGCATTTAGTTTAAAAAGAAAAATAAAAACGGTTTGGTCCCTTTCTGGGAAGTTTGCTCTGACTTGCATGGGAAGGAGAGGGCAGCAGCATGCTTCTCCTACACTGCTTGAGCCAGAGCCCACTTGGCACTTGGAGGCTGAATCTGGTGGTCTTGCTCACTTGCTGCATTCTGTTTTCATGTTCCTTTACTTGCTTTCCACGGAGCTGACTTGACAGGTCATGGAGTAGGGTATTGACATAGCTTTGTAGCTCAGCTGAAATGCATGTGGAGGATCTAGGTACCCCTGAGGTTGACACTCTGCACCAGAAGACCTCATTCTGTAGTGCTGAATGACCTGTACTTTGTGGTTTGATGTTTTAAAATGCATCTTAGGAGCAAATGTCTTCTAGACAGGCTGTTGGTATTTAATGATAATTCCCTTCAGCTTCCCTCAGACCTTTTTATGCAAAAATTTTGTTGGCAACATCTAAACAATCTATTGGTTTAGATGACACCTCACAGTTACCTTTTTGTTTTATTTTATTGTGCACTTACACGTTGGTAAGTGACCAAAATCTTTTATCAGAAAAGTGTTTGACCTTTCTGAGATCAGTAACAGTGTGTGCTGCAGCTCAGCTCTGGGAGTACCACAAACCCCCTCTGTATGCTTGGAGTTGAATGGCATTGCTTATCTTCTGACAGCTGGATATCAAAAGAATGAAGCAGTTCAGCAATCCCAGACCACCATCAGGCACTTGGGGGAAAAAGTAAAACAAAATGTATGGGAGATAGTTGTATTGCTGATGCTTAGTGCTATGCAGGTCTCCAGCAAGACCTTCTTCATAGCTCTGTTGAGCAGATACTGTTCCCCAGATCAAACACATCGTGTTCTTCAACCTGCAGTAATCTCTCTAGTTGCTTTGTGTGGTTTTGCTCATTCTATAGATTCTAGCCCAAAGATTTCATTGTGAAATGACTGTTTTGGCTGAATGTCTCTGAATACCTAGGAAGGACGTGGCTCATGAGTGCTTACTGGAATTCATTTTGCTGTTTGTTGCCATATGTCCTGAGCAGCGTTTAGATTTAGAGCAGCTGGACTTTTGGCCCTGAAGTAATGCAAACTGCAACCAAAAGGGGCAGGGGGGAAAGGGGGTGGAAATAAGGGCAAGATGGGCAGAGAACAAAGTTTCCCTTCAACATCTTGCTTCCACAGCAGAACTGGACTTTTTACTAGTTGGGTTACTGCTCAGTATTTTGTGCACAAAAATGACAAGAGTAAAGAGACTTCAGAAGCAAATCCTGTTATATGTACATAGGCTAAAAGATGTCAGTGATTTCTGAGATATTGGATAAATTCATTACAAGCTTCAAACCTATAAACTTCTACACTGTGTGGAGAGTTTTTGGTGCTCATTGAATGTAAATGTTCAAAGGAAGGTAGCCAGGAAGTAATCTAGACTGTAAGAAATGTCTGCAATTGATTGACAGGCTGAATTTTAAGGCAAAACTGGGATGAAAGTGTGAGCGGGAGGAAGGAATACCATTAAGTCTAACAAAATCTGGACTGTAGCCTCTATTACTGATCTAGTTCAGAAATAAGTGCACTTGCACAGACCACTTCCTTATTCTATTTTAAATATATATCAAAAACCACAAAAGCATTTAAGTTAACATAGTTAAACACTCAAATATTAATAAGCATCATAGCAGGGATCTTGCAGCTTGTGAGTCTGTGTCTAACACAGTGCTCAGTCGTGTAACTGGGTCCTCCTCCCCCTGCAAAGCTCTGTTTGTTTCATGTGCCTCCTGCATGATGCACAGGGCACTACGTGGTAACAGCCAGTGGCTGTCAGGAGATGCTGATAAAAAGAGGACATGAGTACAGCAGTCCTTCCATGGCTTGCCCACTCCTGTCTTCTCACAGTTATGATTTGGGGTTTTTTGGGTTTGCTATAGTAGACCCCCAGAGCTGCAGGCTATGTGTCTCCAATAGCTGCTGATGGACTTAGCTTCATTTAAATTAGTCTTTTATTAATCAGCTATATACTTGTAGCTTGCTGCAGCCAGAAGTTCTACACCTTAATTTTATGAGGGGGGAAAAATATTTCTTTAGTTTTGACATTTGTTACCTTCTAATTTTGTTCTGTTCCCCAAACTCTTGAATTGGTGAAGACAACAAAGAGTGAAACACCCTTTCAAAAGGTGTCAGGTAATCCAGGCCACAGTAGTTGTAGGTAAAGCTGAGGTAAGACTCCATGCTTAGCCATTGAATACTGATGAAAGGATATTTGCTCTAATAAATGGCTACACCCATTCACAGGTCTACACTAAAGTTGCCCTTCTCACTTCTAACACTGCCATGTCCCAGGCAGCTCTCTGCTGCGCTATTCAGTCTGAGCTTCATTTCCTGAATGGTAAAGTTCATCCTATTCCTACCTACTCTGGCTCCTGTGTGAAAAGACTGTCTCTTAAAATTGTCCTTTAAGTCTAAAAACATTTTATAGAAATGGTATTTCCATTAACAGATCCTTCGGGTTCACCAAGAAAAATAAGGACTTCAGGCCATGTTGCTAGCCTTGTTCCAACACTTGCTGACTTTTGTTAGACCTCTGGGCTCAGTGCACTCCTCAACAAAGTCCTGAAATGGCCTTTTTTCTGAGTGGTGTCTAATTGCTTGTGGTGAGCCAGGCTCTAAAACTGAACCATTACAAGACACCGATGTGACAGTTAAATTAACAGCCTGGATGTCCCTTGCCAAAGCCTGTCCTGTCATGCTGCACATAAGCTGTGGGGTTTTTTTGAAAAGTACTGGACAGGAGCCAGAACTGACTAAAATAACTCAACAATGCGAACCACACTTGATGTATTTCCAGTACAAAATACTGATAAAATTTGTCTCTGGGCTGTTTTGGTGTTTTTTTAACAATTTCAAACATGCATCTGGTTTTCTGTTTCGTGGACACTGCTATACAGCAGCACTGAGCAGCAGGTAGTACATGCTAAGTGGCTAGTTTAAGACAAGGTGTTATCTATCTATTCTGTGTCATCCTGAAGAAATAGTCTCTTGGGACAGTGAAATTCCTGAATAAAGTGGCTGTGGAAGCTGTTTCTCTAACTTGGTATCTTAAGTGTTACTCTATAACTAAATCATGCATCCTGTTTTCAAACAGAGAAGGGATCACCTGCATTAAGCTGAGGGTTAGATGAGGAAAGAAACAGCTTCAGAAACCTGATTTTATCAGGAGCCCTGCTTTCCTACCCAGATCTTTGCAGTTCCATTTAGGATAAAATCATCTTCTCTTTGTATAGCTTTGTGATCTTTGATGAGGTCATGATCTTCTGTTTATGACAAGCCTAAACAGAAATATTCCAGCATGTACAGATGGGGGATCAGCTAAGAACAGGGCTTTATGGTGTTTGGTGCTGTACAAGCATATCAGCACATGGGCAGTGCTTCTCTGACACTTTGCCTGAGAACAGGAGGAAGAAACTCCATCTGAATCCATCTACCCTGCTGTCAAAGGGAGGAGGTGTGCTGGTGTTGCTACTCCAGCTCTGGAGAATGGGATGGGAGGCAGTGCAAGAGCTATGAGTGTCAGGGCACGAGACAAGGATCATGATGGTGTCCACTTCTGTTTCTTTGCTGTCACTTCTTTTCCCCACTGAGTAGCAATGCTTCTTGTTCACACTGCTGCACATGCATCACCACTGCGTCCAGCAGCGCTGGCAGGGCAGCAGCAGGGCTGGTCAGACAGCTTGTTGAAATAATCCACCTGCATTCCTTGCTTGTAAATGGCCTGTAAATATTTCCTTAATCAAGATTGGGGTTTGGTTTGTTGTTGTTTTGGTTTGTTCTGTGGCTTAAAATTGTTTAAGACAGGTAGACTGTAAGATACATAACTGCCTATATCCATTGGAGAAAAATCTTTGATCTTGAGATATTCTTTGGGATATTCAGGGATATCTTGAACCCTCTGCCCCTAATTTGGAAAGTGCCAGATCAGACTCCACTTTTGCACTTAGGCAATCAGGCTACCTAGGCAGCAGTGAGTGGATAGCTCTATTTGAAGGCACAGCAATA